AGTCATTTACACGGACTTTATTCAACACAAATCTCAAAGTTTTCTCATGTGGATGTCCTAGCCTAGCATGCCAAAGATTTGCAAGATTTTCAGACTGAGTAGCATTGCTAATATTGTTTTTGATGGACCTGCTAGAATTTCCAAGTTGAAAGGTGCTGCTAACCTTGCTACTGTTGGACACGCTTGAGCTATGATTATTCTCCTCTACTGAATTATTATTAGACACATCAAAGGGTAACGTGATACTATTCTTGGCATGATTATTAGTAGATTCAACAACATGACAGATTGCATGTTGCACTTTATTTCTAGATGTGAGGGTAGATGGCTTTGTAGATGGCAGGGAGGTTTGAAGCTGGTAGAGTCCATCTTTCATATTACCTTCCAACAATATTTCCTTGGTAAGTTTATCCTTAACAAGACACTTGTCAGAATAGAATTCCACTATAACTCAATTATCTCTAGTTATTTGAGAGATACTCAATAAATTTTTGGCAATATGTGGTACACATAGCATGTTTTTAAGATACAAAACTCTATGTGCTGAGTTTGAAGTTAATAGGGACTCACATGTATGTGTGACAGGGATATTCTGACCATTTCCTACTTGAACTGTTGAGCCTCCTGGATAGTTAGTCTTGAGGATCAGATTGCTTGGATCATCGGTGATATGATTTGTGGCTCCTGAGTCTATATACCAAGTCTGATCAGCAACTATCTAAGGAGTAGCAATTGGACTAGTGGAGATTATATGAGTTCCCTCTGCAGGTGTGTTGCCTAAAGACATTCCAACTGTGCTGCATTGATTTTGATTAGTATTAAAAGCATACTACTGATTAACACTATTAGAGGAAAAGCCATTAGAGTAAGTAGCTTGAGCAAACTGTTGCTGTGTAGGATTGACAATAAATTGTTGATTTCCACCACTAGAACCTGAGCCAATTGGATTAGAGGGATGAGTCCAACTAGGATTAGTCTGCTGCATAAACTGTCCAGGTATCATTTGAGTCACCAGCATAGCTTGTGCTGCTTCATTTGTTTGGCTAGGATTATGTGTTTGTGATGTAACAGAGGTAGAGGATCCTTGAGGAGCAAAATTAAAGCCATTAAAGCCTTGGAATCCTTGAAAATCCTGATCAAATCTATGATAGCAATTGATTGCAGAGTGTCCTCCTTTGCCACAAACTTGACATATCAGTTTAGGTCTAAACTGACCCCTTCCTCTGCCTTGGCTTCGCATCATATAAGGATTGAACATGTACATTCCAGGAGAGTTATGAGCAACAAATGAACCATGAGAACTATTTGGAACATATTGTGAAGGGTAGCCAAAAGGAAAAGCTGGTCTAGGATTATTCCCAGATTGTACTAGATTACCAATGGACTGGGATAATTGAGGTATCAAATAACTTCCTAAAGATTCCATATTAGCACCTGGCCTGACTCCTTTGTTTTGTGAGACAGCATTAATATCGGTATAACTATGGTCTGTAGTTTGTTTAGGAACCATAAGAGCCGAAGCTAGTTGATCATGCGAGTGATTATAAGCACTATGTTGCCTCTCCAATCTTATTCCATATTTGTGTAACAAGAACTGAGCCTCTTGTATAGAGATAATGCTACTATTAGAGGTGAGATTTGCAACAACAGCATCATACTCCGGTCCCAAACCATCTAATATATATAGCAACAGTTCCTCATCACTCAGACTTACACCACTAGCATTCAACTCATCTCCTAGTTCTTTCATCTTTAGCACATATTCACTAATACTACATGAATCCTTCTTAGTTGTCTGCAGTAAGTTTCTTAAGTGCAGTGTTCTAGCCTTAGATACTGATTGAAAATGCAACTCTAAAACACTCCAAATTTCATAGGCTGTACTCCACTTAGCAACATGTCTAAACATAGATTTAGAAATTGTTGAAAGAAGTCAGCTTACTAAAAACTGATCAACCTTTTTCCAATTGAAAAAGTTAGGGTTTAATTTCTTTACCTTCTCTCCTGTTTCTTCAGATGTAACAATTAAGAACATTGGTGGACATACTTTTTCTCTAGTAACGAAGACATCCAATCCATGTGAGCTCAAGGTTGGCAAGATCTGAGATTTCTAGAAAGTGTAGTTTCTTTCTGGAAGTTTCACGGAGAGCGAAGGTAAGGTAGGTAATGTGCTTAGACTTGTAACAGCAGCTAGTCCAGTTTCCATATTTTTTCCTTTGTTTGAAGAGAAAAAAAAAAAATTGCAGAAAAGTTTGAGCAAAAGATCAACCTTAGACGTTAGTCTAGGGCTCTGATACCATGAAAAGATACAGAAATGAAGAAAACAATCTAGAAAGAGAAAATGTAGAAAAAACAGAGCAAGAAACGTGTGAGTTCTACAAAAAGGAATCTGTTATTTTTCACTTTCTGACTAACTGATTTACAAAGAGGAGAAAGTCTGTCTTTTATACATACAACCATCAGTAAATGCAGCGTTTTTAGTTATAACATTTCTAAAAACGCTGCGTATTAGTTACACTTAAGCCTTACAAATATTGAAACCCAAAACTACTCAAAACCGAGAGCCTACATTCTTCTTCTTCTTCTTCTTCTTCTTCTTCTTCTTTTATCAACATCTTCCCTTAAACTGAACACCTTGTTGATTCTCCATTCTCTTCAATATTACTTAATTCATTATAGTATAATTACATAATTAATTATAACATTATATAATTACATGATTATTTAATTGAATATGACATTATATTATAAATATTAATTATAACATTACATTATAAACAAATGATTACTTAATTAAATGATTATAAATTTAATTAATTAAGCATTATATTATAGTTAAATAATTACTTAATTAAATTATAATATTATTACATTACATTATATTATGATCACTTAATTAATTATAGCATTACATAGTTAAATAATTACTTAATTAGTTATAAATTTATAACATTACATTATAAACATTAGCAATTTACTACATTATTACATTACTTAATTAAATGATTAAAAATTTAATTAATTATAACATTACATTATAGAGTTATAGTATGATTATTTAATCAATTATAACATTCCATTATAGATTTATAGTATGCTTACTTAATCAATTATAACATTCCATTATAAACATTAGGATATTAATTAAATGATTAGAAATTTAATTAATTACAATATTAAATTATAGATTTATAGTATGATTACTTAATTCATTATAATAATTAATTATAATATTATATAATTAAATGATTATTTAATTGATTATGACATTATATTATAAACATTAGTAATTTACTACATAAACATTAGCATAATACTTAATTAAATGATTAGAAATTTAACTAATTATAATATATTAACATTACATTATAAATTTATAATACGATTACTTAATTAATTGTAACATTACATTATAAACAAATGATTACTTAATTAAATTATTACATAATTAATTATAACATTATTACATTACATTATATTATGATCACTTAATTAATTATAGCATTACATAGTTAAATGATTACTTAATTAGTTATAAATTTATAACATTACATTATAAACATTATTAATTTACTACATTAGTCATTAGTACATTACTTAATTAAATGGTTAAAAAATCTAATTAATTGTAATATTACATTATAATTTATAGTATGATTACTTAATTAATTATAATATTACATTATAAACATTAGTACAATATTTAATTAATTATAACATTATATTATACATGTATAGTATGATTACTTAATTAATTATAGCATTACATTATAATTAAATAATTGCTTAATTAATTACAATATTATTATATTACATTATAAACATTAACAATTTATACATTAAATTAACAATTTACAGATGAATAATTGTTTGTGTCTTGGTTTTGATTGAAAAATTTTATGTGAATTGTGATGAATTGATTGAATTCAAGTGTTGCCTAAAGATTAGAGGATTTATGAGTTACATTTGACACAAATGAATGAGTAATCAAAATTTGTTAGGGGTGTATTTGTAAACTTTTAAGGGATTTTTGTTATTTTTTAAACTAATAGGGGGGTAATTGATTTTTTATAGGGTACCTGGGAAAGGAACCAAAACTTGCATTTTAGGTTTCGATTCCTTGAATTTAAGAATCTGCACTGTGCGGTTCCGGTTCTTTTTTTTGGGAACCTGTACTGTGTGGTTCTGGTTCCCCCAAAAAATACAAGATACCCGGGTTCGCTCACCCCTAGTTATAGTTAACTTAGTCTAGACACCCATTTTATTCAGCACATACACATACAATATTAAAATTTCAGAAATGATCATTGTTATCAACTTCCAACAATTTTTATTTATTTTTTTGGTTGTATTTTTATGTAATTATGCTTTTTTTTTTATTTTTTTTATTTTATGCTTATATATATAAACCAATAACTGCAACCATATAAAAATTGTATACAAGTACATATTAAAGATAATATCTGGCATGGTATGTGAGATATTAATATCACATTAATTTTTCAGAACTTCTATGGAAAAATTACAGTGCGTTTGTATATTCTTACAATAAATATTTGCGTGAGGTGGATTCAGTGTTAATTATAAAACAAACTTGAGACTTAAAAATTCTCAAGAAGACAAGAAATGTTTTGGAAAGAGATGCATATATTCGCAAAATTTAAATAAGACCTCATTATATATTTATATTTACATAAAATTGAATAAAAACTTGAGATATATCTATATTATTAATTTAAAATTATATATATCTTAGTAACTGCAGATTTGTATATTATTTTAAGTTAAAATTAAATTATTAAGTCAGAAAAACCCTTAATTTAAATTGCTTTTGTTGTTTTTTTCCTTTTTAAGGGCATGAACCGGTTATCTAAATAAACTCACTCTCTGTACTGTAGTATCATATTTGGCAAACATGCATTAAGACCCCCAACATGGCTAGAATTCACGTGTCATTTTAACATATCTGATGGTCATGGGCTTTTATTGGTCTAGAAATTTAGACAAGTCAATTGTGCATAGCTCATCTCAACTTTGAGCTTCTCTTTGAGATTCCTTTCTGCCATTTTACCTTATCCATTGTCTCTTCCCATTAAAAACTGCATACGGCATTTCTTCTCACAGAAGAAGATCATGGTGTCTTTTCTTAGACTCATTATATCAGATATACTATCAAACTGAACCACATTAGAGCCTACTAGTGTTATTTTCTTGCCATGCTTTAGAGTTTAAGCTGCTTTTGTAATATTTACAGACCTTAAGTCAATGTTGTTATGATCTGTGCCAAGTTTTGAGTATGTTGTTAAAGCAACTATCATTCACCTAAATTTTGTAAATTTGTTTGCAGAGATTTTTGAGAATGTTATTTTTCTGTTATGAAGAGTTGATGATTATTTATTAGAGCACTTGAATGCATGCCACAATGCCGAAAGGACGTCCATTCATTTTTTATTTCAATGAAGTTGTATTACAGGTGACCCTAATTGCTCAAGGGGATGTTCCACTATCTATTGTAATGACAATGTGCACTACACTTGGAGCTGTACTTCTCACTCCTCTTTTGACAAAAATCCTGGCAGGAACATATGTTCCGATCGATGCTGTTAAACTTTCCATCAGCACCTTGCAGGTAAATTTTCAACATATACTTCACCATAACTCATTTAATATTTAGCAAAACATTCACTTTTTTGCGGTATTATGGTGGTTGTTACTTCTGGTATAGGTGGTCGTTGCTCCAGTTCTACTAGGTTCATATATGCAGAGCACATTTCCTTATGCAGCGAAGGTTTTGACACCTTTCGCCCCATTATTTGCTGTTTTAGCTTCATCATTGCTAGCATGCAGGTTTAATTTATCGTCAATTAGTTTACTTTTGTGAACATTGTATATAAAGATTCTAATGATATTAACATATTCATTTCTGGGTTTCTTCCAGTGTATTCACTGAAAACGTGGTTCGTCTCAAATCCTCAGTGGTAGCTGCTTCATTGGCATCTGATCTATCTCCAATTTCCAGCATTCAGTCAATATTGTCTGGAGAGCTAGGAGTTGTAATGCTCTCTGTAGTGCTGTTGCATTTTACCGGTTTCTTTGTGGGGTAAGAGTAGCTTTTCATTTTTCTCTTTAACTATTTGAGGATTGTTATGCTTGTTTGTGTTTAGGCTGAGATTTACTTTTCAAGTTTGTAGTGATTGTGAACATTAATTTTACTTTTGCTTATCTTTCGCCTGATTTCTTTTTCCTAATACTACGTAAATATTATGCAATAAACGCACATTCACATATGTAACACTATCTTGAATACTTGTCCTTGCAGATTCAAATTTCTATATTACTTCTTCCTTAAATTTTTTGAATGGCAGAACAGACTTCCAAAATTGTCATTAATTCATTCTCATTGATGAAAAGGAAATGCTTAAACACAAATGAATATCATTTGTTTTTGTTTTTTTTTAACAATGGCTTCAGTACTCTTATAAATACAATTTTATTCGCATTTGGGAAAGAGCTGTACGTTTATGTTGTTTGAGGGAGACGAGATGGATTTCTTATTTCCTGTCTATTTTTCGTATGCAAGATATAAATTCTTTTAACAGATCCAATATTTTACAGCCAGTGACACGTATTATGGTCTGGTTAAGTAGTAGCGGAATATGATAGTTCATTGCACTTGAAAATGAGAAATTTGCTGATTACAGTGGCCAAGACGGGCGTTGGTTTGTTAATATAGACCTAAGCTAGCTATGCTTGCAGGGATACTTTAACATTTATCATAGATGAAAATTTTAGTGTTTTTTCTTCGAAGTAGTTAATATACAATTTATTGATATATGCCCTGCAGGTATCTCGCTGCAGCTGCGGGCGGATTCAAAGAACAGCAAAGACGAGTGATATCAATCGAGGTATATATAGTTCTATTCAACGTTAATCCATATCATTTGTTTCTTTTCTAGCTAATTGAAATTGTTGTGATGTGGTACTTGATATGTACACACGTGGAAGTCAACTTTTACTTTGGGTGGTCAATGTTAATAGTTAAAGACTTAAGGAGCATTTCGGTCTTTTTTGGTATCTTCAATAAACCTAATTTCATTTAGGTTTTATGCAGCTCATTCTCGATCATTCTCTCTTGGTTAACAGAGAGAGAAAACTGTTAGAATCTATTGTGTTGGAAATCCAAAGGACGTTGATGGAATCAAACGGTGATGGTAAGTCTTAGCTGTCCTATCTGTTTTACCTTTTGTTTGTTGTATAAATCTGCCCCTAATTCTATGTATTTGATGATGTATGAGTGGTGAGAACATCTGGGTATACGGGTGTAAATCAGAGGGGTTTTTTCTCAGGTTGTGCCTTGTGTAAAAGGGGTGAGCCTAATCTCAGTAAGGTTTTCTCATTTTCTCATAATGGATTCTTTTCTTTGCCCTGAAGAGTGGATGTAGGTAATCTTTCAGATTACCGAACCACTATAAATCTTGTGTTCTTTATTTTCTTGTTTTTTTTGCTTATTGATTATTGTTGTAGATTTTTGTGGTTGCTTGGTTTAATATTGCGTGTATATATATATATATACTTGTTCTTGATCTCATGTTACAACAAGTGGTATCAGAGCTCTGTTTTCGAGCACCTAGGTCTTATTCTAGGTTGTGAGATCTAGTTTATGAATTTGCAGTAGTTTAGGGTTTGACTGTTTTTCGCAGTTGTTTATTCCTTTAACTTAGGGTTTTCAATTTGTCTCTAGAATTGGGGCTTTTATACTCTAAGTACCTGGGAAGGTTAGAAACCTAGAAATGACTAAGTTTGAAGTAGAAAAATTTACAGGAGACAATGATTATGGGTTATGGAAAATGAAGATGAGGGTTGTCTTAGTTAAGGATGGACTGTCTGATACATTAGAGGGTGAGGATAGCTTACCAGTTTCTTTGTCCGAGAAGGAGAAGAAAGATCTGTTAGATAAAGCTTACAGTACTTTAATTCTAGGGTTAGGAGATAAAGTCCTAAGAGAGGTTAAGAAGATGAAAACACCAGCAGAAATTTGGGAAAAGTTAGACTCCCTATACCTGTCAAAGTCTTCTCCTAATAGGTTAGTATTAAAACAGAAAATTTTCAGTTTAAAATGGATGAAAACAAAATATTAGGTGACAATATGAATGACTTTATGAAACTTGTATAGGATTTAGAAGTTCGTAGTGTTAAAGTTGAGGATGAAGATCAAGCTGTGATCCTTATTAATTCCCTTCCTAAAATTTTCTCAAATTTTGTGGATACTCTTAAGTATGGTAGACAAACTCTTAAACTAGATGAAGTAGTAGTAGCCATTACTACTAAGGATGCTGAGTTTAAAAAGGAGGGTAAGCTAGATGGGGAAGGATTGAATATCAGAGGTATATTTGAGAAAAAAATTGTCAAAGAAAGGTCACTTTAGGGGTACATCTAAGTCTAAATCCAAGTTTGTAAGGAAGTGTTTTCATTGTCATAAGGAAGGGCACTTTAAAAGAGACTGTCCAGATAGGAAGAAAAGATCAAGTGAGAAAGAGGATCTGAGTCTGAGTGGATTTTGGATTCTGGATGCACTTTCCACATGAGTCCAAATAGGAGTTCACTGATGAATTTTAAGAAAATAGAATCTGGCAAGGTTCTAATGGGGAATAATGCAGTGTGTAGTGTCTTAGGCATTGGGGATGTCAGGTTAAGTCTTCATGATGGCAGTTCCAAAGTCCTTTCAGAAGTTAGGTACATACTTGAGTTAAAAAGGAACCTAATCTCCTTAGGTAGCTTGGACTCAAATGGGTTTAGTTACAAAGCTCAAGGTGGAGTGCTTAAAGTTACCAAAGGGTCTTTAGTGGTTATGAAAGGAAAAAAAAAAGAATGGTTTATATGTTTTAAATGGATCTACTGTTGCTGGAACAACAGTAGTGACCTCACAGAAATCTAACAAGACTTCTATTTGGCACAAAAGGTTAGGACACATTAGTGAGAGAGGACTGATAGAGTTAAGAAAGCAGAATGCTTTAGGAGGGGATAAAATAGAGAAGCTAGATTTCTGTGACCATTGTATTTATGGGAAGATGAGCAGAATCAAGTTTAGTGTGGGAAACCACTGTTCTAAGGGCATTTTGGACTACATTCATTTTGATGTGTGGGGGCCAACCAAACATCCATCTTTGGGAGAATGTAGGTACTTCATTAGCATTGGTAGCGTGCCGAATGCTCCAAGTTAATAACCTTCCTAACCTAATTACTGAATTATATATAGGGTAAGTAAGGGTCGATCCCACAGGGAATGGTTCGATTAATTCCTATGTTCTATCCAATAACCACAACAAAAATAACAAAAAAAATAAAATCCTAAACAGTAAACATGACAACGGTAATGAAAGGGGGTTGTAGACAACGCAAACTAAAGTAAAACAAAGAAATCTCAAATGGTAGAAAATATCAAATTAAACACAATTAGTTCTCGGTTCAAGATCCACCTAAACATGCATTGGACATAAAGTAACCGTAACACTGTTCTATCTCATCATTATGAAACTACTGACCTTAGGAAACAACAAGCTCTGTTACCCGAATTCTCCCTTAGTTTGTCACTACTGAAACAAGCTCTTCGAGTAGATACTAACCCTTGAACAACCTAGAACAAGCTCTCTAAATTTAATTCAATGGCAGCCTTAAGAATTAGGAGAATAGATCAATCTAAGCAACAATCACGCAAGCTCGGATTATTTAACTTAGGTTATGTTATTCAAGACAATAGACCGAAAACTTGTCCATAATCAGCTATCATCATGTGTCACTCGTTGAATAGAAAAAGGACAATTACGGATCACAATTCCTAACTCTAACAGATAAAATTCCGATGAAATAATTCAGCAGGCCATTACTAAATCACCCAAACAGAAAATTATAAACAATTAAAACAGAATAACATAAACAATTCCAATAAAAACAAGATTAAGAACAATGTTACTGAAGTTAGGCTACACCAATGACATGAATTTAGGCTTCAAAATCCCCTTGAACTGAAGAAGAAAGATCAGCCTCACATCTTGACGTAGAAAGTAAAAGAAAACTGAAAAAAACTAAAAACTACTGCTGTCTCTCTTCTCCCCTGGTTAACCTAACACTCCTGAATAAATAACATGTTTTTCTCCTAATTCTACCCCAGGAATCACGGAAAATCTTTCCTAGACGTTTCCTAAAAGATAGACTTCCAGATTTGACAAAATCTTATCAGATATGGATTCCAGAATTCGTCTCCAGCTTGCACCAGGATTCTCGCAATGTAAAAGTTATTTTCTGGGCTCAGTCACTTCATAAAAATTGTAGTCCCAGATGTGTAGATTAATCTGGGCTTTTGAATCACCCGCTTTCAATATCTGACGCTCCAGTTAGGCCCGTTCGAAGATTCAATGCTCAGCCAGGAAATCCTACCACGACTAGGATTCCAGGTCCGGATTTGTAATGACTAATGAAGACCCAAACGAACTCGGATTCTCGCCCATAATACCTTTCTGGAAAGCTTGATTCGTCAACTTTATTTTTTCTGAAGAACACTGTTGCAATCAAGAACTCCGACTCCATGAAAAACCTGAAAAACGTAGCACTGGTCAGAATAACAAAAATCTGGAATTTCCTAATCTTTTATCACTTATTTCCTAAAGTCTATCCAACTATGCCAAACTCACAAAATAAACTCTAATCAACTCAAATAGGCATAAAACATGACAAAAAACATAATATGGAAGGAATAAAAATATATAAATTACACTCTTATCAAGCATCATAGATGATTTTTCTAGGAGGGTGTGGATTTATTTTTTGAAAACTAAGGGAGAGGCCTTTAGGAAGTTCAAGGATTGGAAGATTATGATAGAAAATCAATCTGGGAAGAAAATCAGGAAACTTAGGACATATAATGGGTTAGAATTTATCAATGAAGAGTTTGATAACCTATGTCAGGAGAGTGGAATTTTGAGGCATAGAACAGTTAGACACATACCCCAGCAGAATGGTTTAGCAGAGAGGATGAATAGGACCATTCTTGAAAAGGTTAGAAGCTTGTTATCCTATTCTAAGTTACCCACCAGGTTTTGGGCAGAGGCTGCTCACACAGTTGTTTACCTAATTAATAGAATCCCTTCCTCAGCTCTTAGTTTCAGAACACCCATGGAAAAGTGGTTTGGGTATCCTGCTAATTATAGCAGTCTTAGGGTTTTTGGATGCACTATTTTTGTTCATGAGAAAACTGATAAGCTAAAACCAAGGGCCATTAGATGTATTTTCTTAAGGTATCCTGATGGCATAAAAGGTTATAGGTGTTGGGATATTGCAGGAAAAAGATGTATAATTAGTAGAGATGTTAGGTTTAATGAGGGTGAGGTGAATGGTCTAAATCAAAATGGTTTGAGTGAGAATGAAAGTGATAATACAGTTAGGACAGAGATGATTAACCTGGATTTATGTGGAGATTTTTCAAACCTGGACAGTCCTGGTCCAGACCCTAATGTAGATGTTTAAACCCAAGAGGATGAACCTAGCCTAGAGGATAGTGGTGATAATGATAGAGTTGAAAATGAATTGCAAAATTATCAACTAGCTAGAGATAGAGAAAGAAGGGAAATCAGATTACCTAGTCGGTATTCACATGCTGATTTGGTAGCCTTTGCTCTTTAAGTTGCTGAAGAAATTGATGAGGAACCTAGAACTGTTAAGGAAGCCATGAGTTGTAGAGAATCTAGGCAGTGGAAACTGGCTATGCAAGAAGAATTTGATTCCTTAATAAAAAACCAAACCTGGATTTTGATTGACAAACTTGAAAGCAGTAGGGTGATTAAATGCAAATGGGTTTTTAAAAGGAAAGAGGGCATACCAGGGGTAGAAGCACCTAGGTTTAAAGCAAGATTAGTGGCAAAAGGGTTTACACAGTTTGAAGGGGTGGATTACAATGAGATTTTCTCACCTGTAGTGAGACATACCACCATTAGAATACTGTTATCTTTGGTAGCTCAGTTTGGTTTAGAACTAGAGCAGTTAGACATCAAAACAGCCTTCTTAAATGGTGATTTAGAAGAAAAAATTCTAATGGAACAACCTAAACTGTTTGAGAAGGCTCCTAAGAACCAAGTCTGTTTTCTGAAAAAATCTCTATATGGTTTGAAGCAGTCTCCTAGGTAGTGGTATAGGAAATTTGATTGTTTTATGTTGAATGCTGGTTTCATCCGAAGTAGTTTTGATGGGTGTTTCTATTTCAAATGTTTATATGGTGAATGCTACATATACTTGTCTTTATATGTGGATGATATGTTGCTAGCTTGCAAGGATTTTATGAAATTGATAGATTCAAAAGGGAGAAGAGTAAACAATTTGAGATGAAAGATTTAGGATAACTAGAAAGATTTTGGGTATGAACATTGAAAGGGATAGGAAAACTGGGAGTCTTGTGTTGTCACAGAAAGAGTATGCTAAAAAATTAATCAAGAAGTTTAACATGCTTGACTCTAAACTTGTCAAAACACCATTAGGTCAGCATTTTAAACTTAGTGTAACCCAGTGTCCAGAAACTGAAGAAGAAAATAGGGAAATGGCTTGCATACCATATGCAAATGCAATAGGGAGTTTGATGAATTTAATGGTCTGTACCAGACCAGATTTGGCCTTTGCAGTTAGTTCAGTAAGTATGTTTATGAGTAACCCTGGAAAGATTCATTGGGAAGCTGTAAAATGGGTACTCAGATATGTGAGGGGTACAATATCCACTGGCATTGTTTACAGCAGAGGGCAAATTCAGGAGAATCCTATCATGGGATGTGTGGATGCTGATTATGCTGGAAATGTAGACAATAAGAAATCCATAACTGGTTTCTATTTTACCATTTGGAATAATCTGGTTTGCTAGAATGCTAATTTGCAGGCTATTGTAACTCTGTCCACCACGGAAGCAGAATATGTTGCAATTACAGAGGTAGTCAAGGAGGCAATGTGGCTCAGGGGAATGCTTGATGAGATGGGACTGGTTCAACAACAAGTTCCAATCAAGAGTGATAGTCAAAGTGCAATTTTTCTGTGCAAAAATCAGGTCTTTCATGAGAGGTCGAAACAGAGAGAGAAAACTGTTAGAATATGCTATCCTAGAAATCCAAAGGACGTTGATGGAATCAAACGGTGATGGTAGGTCTTAGCTGTCCTATCTGTTTTACCTTTTGGTTATTGTATAAATCTACCCCTAATTCTATCTATTTGATGATGTATGAGTGGTGAGAGCATCTAGGTGTACGGGTGTAAATCAGAGGGGTTTTTTCTCGGGTTGTGCCTTGTGTAAAAAGGGTGAGCCTAATCTCTATAAGGTTTTCTCATTTTCTCATAGTGGATTCTCATCTTTGCCCTGAAGAGTGGATGTAGGTAATCTTTCAGATTACCAAACCACTATAAATCTTGTGTTCTTTATTTTCTTGTCATTTTTGTTTATTGATTATTGCTGTAGATTTTTGTGGTTGCTTGGTTTGAATACTGCATATATATGTATTTGTTCTTGATCTCATGTTACAACAGAAATTGAATGATGATTATGAATGTGCTGAAATGAGAGTGAAATGTCAAAATATCGTATCTTTGTGGCATTTTTTTACTTCTGACAACATTAATCATAGCAGTACTTGTAAATAAATTCTCATTACGTTATGCTTGTCGCTTGCAGGTCGACATGCAAAATTCTTCCTTGGGTGTGGTTTTAGCAACCGCTCATTTCACTTCATTAATGGTTGCGTTGCCCCTAGCCTTGTCTGCGGTGATTATGAACATCATGGACAGCTGTTTGGGATTCATTTGGAGATATATTGATCCTTTTGATTCAAACGGTAGTCCTAAAATTGTTGAAAAGTGAGTATAAATCATGTAATTGTGTAATTGACAGTATCCAATAAGGTTATGTTTTCTCTTCATTGGGTTGATATATTAATCCAAGCTCTAATCGGTGTCAATTTAGCTTAGGGTTTGCGAATAAGCAAAAAAAAAATGGAGAGAAAAAGTGTTTGAATTTTCTTTACTGGTAAACTGATTTTAGTAGTTACAGTGAAGAGTAAAGTTTACTCTTTTATACAAAAACCGAAAATGTAAGAGAAGGTCAAAGTACTGCGTTTTTACAACTGTTTTTATTATAAAACAGAAACGACACCGTTTGCAGAATTATATTTCCCTCCTGCTACTTGGCTCTTCTGCACTTTTTTCCTTTGACCAACATCCCCTCTTAAACTGGACACTCTGCTTTTGCTGCTTCAGCAGTCTTTCACCAGCTTTTCTTAGCATTTCTTTTCAAGTTATTGGTTCTTTGACCAACATCCCCTCTGAAACTAAACCTCTTTCTTGTTCAACTACCTCTGTGCTCCTTTAACTCCTCCAGTTAACAAGTGCTCAACTTTTTCAAATAATCAAAAATCTTTCAACAACTAGTTCTGCATTTTTGTTGCAGCTTCAGCAAATCATAATTCCTCCAGCTAACTCAACTTCTTCAAATAATCAAAAGCTTTCAACAACTCATACAACTCATTTTTCAGTTCTGCATTTGCAGTTTCAGCTTCATAATCTTTCAACAACTCAAAAAACAACTCATTTTCAGTTCTGCATTTGCAGTTTCAGCTTCACAATCTTTCAACAACTCAAAAAACAACTCATTTTCAGTTCTGCATTTTTGTTGCAGCTTCAGGAAATCAAACTTCACATCAGCATCATCTCATCAACCAAGCTTAACAATCAGCAAATCTCATCAACCAAGCTTAACAATTAGCAACCAAACATGACAAGCAACTTCATCACATAAAACTTCTCATCAGCATCACTTCAACAACCAAGCTTAACAAGTCAGTAATAAAACATGATAAATCAATTTAAACAACATCTCATTTTCAATTCATCATTTGCAGTTTCAGCTTCACAACTTAACATTTTTTAGCTCAGTCATTTGAAGTTCAAGACTATCAAACACAGCTTATAAACTATATTACTCAGCTCAGCCATCTGCATTTCTCCATTTTACTGTATTACTCAGCTGATCAGCCATCTGCATTTCTCCATTTTAACAACTTTCCACCATAAATTCATGAGCACAAGTCTATAAACTGTTCACAAACTTCTACAGATCTGCAACTTAACACTCTGCACTATAAATTTGTGAGCTCAAAAAAAAAAAAAAAAATCTGCTGCAACTTTTGGCAATACTGTAATCTGCCACGACTGCTACAACACTCACCACAAATTTTGGTCAACACACACCACAAAAAAAAAACTACAAACTGTAGAAACTACAAACTATAGTTTTATCAATTAGGAGTCAGTATGTAGCACAGGGAACTACAATCACATTCAGCTTCTGTCTCAGCTCAGAAAATTGAACAATAGACAATGCTTTTGTTAAGACATCTGCAATCTGTAATTTCGATGGTACATATTGAATTGTCAGATTCTTGGCAAGAACTTGCTCCCTGATGTAGTGAGCATCTATTTCTATATGCTTTGTTCTGGCATGGAAGACAGGATTTGAAGCTAAGGCTCCGGCACTTGTATTGTCGCACCAAATTACAAGTTTTGAGGGCAATTGAAGGCTAAGTTCAGTGAACATACTTTGAAGCCATGCAACCTCTGTGGCAGTTTGTGCTAAGGCCTTGTATTCAGCTTCAATGGATGATAATGCAACAACTTTTTGCTTCCTAAAGCTCCACTGAATTAGATTAGGTCCAAGATAGACACAATATCCACTAGTAGACCTTCTATCTTCAACATTACTACCCCAATCTACATCAGCATAGCATTCAATATTTAGGGAACTTGTTGATTTAAACTGAAGCCCATAGTGTAGTGTTCCTTTAACATATCGCAGAACGAGTTTACATGCTTGCCATTGTAACTCAGTTGGGGCTTGTAGAAACTGACTAAGTTGATTAACTGTAAAGCTAATATCTGGTCTTGTCAATGTGAGATACTGCAAAGCTCCAATTGTGCTACGATATAAAGTAGGGTTGTCAAACAAGTCACTATCATCACTTTTCAGTCTAGTACCAACAGCCATTGGTGTAGAGCATGAGTGGGCATCCATCATTCGGGTTTTAACAAGTAAATCTGAGGCATATTTGGACTGCCTAAGATGTATACCAACTGCTGTCCTGACTGCTTCCAGACCTAAAAAATGCTTGAGTGATCCTAGAGTTTTCAAAGCAAATTGCTCATTTAACTCTGTCAACAACTGAGTAATGTATGCTGCATTAGAACCAGTTATTAAAATATCATCTACATAAACAAGAACATAAATTAGTCCTGATGATTTTTTAAGAACAAATAAACTGGAATCTGAAATTGAGTTTTGAAAACCCTTGTCTTGAAAAGCAGCCTTGAGTTTATCAAACCAGGCCCTAGGGGCCTGTTTAAGACCATATAAAGCCTTGTTCAACTTACACACATGTGAAAGATGAGCAGCTGATTTAAAACCATTTGGTTGCTGCATAAACACTAACTCACTCAAAGTACCATTAAGGAACGCATTGTTCACATCAATTTATTGAACATCAGATGCATTGGTTACTGCTAGAGTGAGAACTATTCGGATGGTAGATGGTTTTATAACTAGACTAAATGTTTCGAAATAGTCCAATCAGGAGTTTTTTGAAACCCCTTAGCCACTAGTCTGGCTTTATGCTTCTGCAGAGTACCATCAGCATTCAATTTTGTTCTGAAAACCCATTTGTTACCCACAATATTCATGCCTATAGTAGGAGCAATAAGAGTCCAGGTGTTGTTCCTAATTAAAGCATCAAATTCTGCCTGCATAGCCTCTTTCCAAACTGCAGATTTTAATGCTTCAGCAACTGTCACAGGTTCTGATTCTATAGGTGACTGACTAGTTGTAAGATAAACAGCAGGATCCAAAAAATCACAGGCTACATTTTCATGACCAGCAGCAGCTTTGGATCTTGTGATCATAGGGTGAGAATTCAGTGGAATAGGAGGTTGAACACTAGGGAACTGTGAAGTAGTAAGATCAACCTCAAGTTGACAATGTGGTAGAGTACTGGATGATGAACAAGGTAGGATGGACTGAGATTAAGCAGTCTGTAAATCGGTATGAGGACTGCCAGAATGTGTTTTTGAAAGTGGATTTAAATCCGGAAGCTTACAACTAGATGCAGGATCACAGGCTGGTGGCAGAATCTAAATCAACCTTAATATGAAAATTTGGCAAATTATTTGAGGAGGAAATAACAAGTAAAGAAGATACCAGATTATGACTGTTTGAGTTAGATGGGAAAGATTCTGATTTGTCTATAGTAACCTCATGTGAATTTATCAAAGGGTTATGACTAGAATTATCAGCAATTTTAGAGGTACTAGGTAATGATGAATTAGATAAGTTTGAAGAGAGTTTACCTGCTGCTGTAGAGTTAGTACCAACTGCTAGATTGTTAAGAACAGTCTGAGAACCAGTTACTACTTGGGGATCAGAAGCTGCTGAAAAGAGGTTATGTTAGAAGATTATATATGGCAGTGGTGAAGTATTATTAGAACAAACATTGGTGGAATTGGCTGAAGGGTCAGAATTGGATTGAACAGAAGATTTATCAAACTCTTGAGAATAAGGAAATTCATTTTCATTAAATTTGACACTAGGGGTAATAAAAATTTTACCATCAACACTTAAACACTTATAACCTTTGTGAAGTAAACTATACCCTACAAATACACATTTTGAGGAATGAAAGTCAAACTTGTGACTATGAAAATTCCTAAGAAAACGGAAACAAGAACAGCCAAAAACTTTAAGACTTTCATACTTAGGATTTTTATGAAAAAGCATGAAATATGGAGTGTTATTATTTAAGACAGCAATGGGCAGTCGGTTAATGAGAAAGGCTGCTGTTTCAAAAGCCAGCCACCAGTATTTTAAAGGCATAGAGGCATGAGCTAATAAGGTAAGTCCTGTTTCAATAATGTGCCTATGTTTCCTCTCACTACGACCATTTTGTTGATGAACATAGGCACAAGAGTACCTAGTTTGAATGCCATTTTCAATCAGATAAGGAAGTAAAGCTTTGTACTCACCTCCTTGATCTGATTGGAGACACTTTAGTTTGGTTCCAAACTACCTCTCAGCAAGGTGATGGAATTTGATAAAGGTGGATTTAACTTCAGCTTTTGTTCTAAGGGGAAACAGCCATGTGAAGCGAATGAAATCATCTAGGAATTGCACATAATACCTAAATCCTTCTACTGAGGTGACTGGGGCAGGACCCCACACATCACTATGAACTAGAGCTAAAGGTTCTGTAACATGAGATTGAGACAAGGGAAAACTATTTTGATGTAACTTTCCTAGCTGACAAGCATCACAGAAATTAGACACTTTGATAGGCAGACTTTGGTTTTCAGTAAGAGAAACAGATTTGGGGAGTGTTGATAAGATTTTATGCAATGTAGTTGAGTTGGGATGACCCAATCTTTTATGCCAAATCATGTGTTGATGTGAGTGTTTGTCAACAGTCAAGCAATTTGGTGTGGAACCAACAGTGTAAAAAATTTCAGCAGACAATTGTTCATGAACATGGCAGTTAATAGCAGATAATTGTTCACTAACAAGAAAATCAGCAGACAATTTTTCATTAACATAGCAGTTTGCAGTATTATTTTCACTCATTGACGCAGTAGCAGTATTATTCTCAACCATTGAAGCAGTAGGCTCAAACAAGAATTCATCATTATGTATTTCATTAGTAGTAACAGTAGGACAAACATTACGTTCAACAGAAATACATTTTGACTCATTTCTAGAACAAAAACCATTACATTGTACTTCAGAAACAGAAACTTTATTATAGCTAACATTCAAAACTACATCAGAGTTTTTATTGACTTTTTCAAC